AAACCAGACAAATCAAGAGAGACAGAAAATTTGAAATCAGGGAGACAAAGAACATACTAGAAACGCAAAGAGACTAATCCAGAATTTACTAGCAAGATATAGAAGGGTATTGAGAGATTAGGTGACTTTCAAATCAAACCTTTCAACCAGCTTTGATTCTCAAATACAGAACCTCCCTCTACATCTTATGGATCTGCGAAAATCTCTCAACTCTTTCATTGATATCGATTTTTTGATGATTTTGTAGAGAGTTTCATGAGGGTGTTTTAGAGAGTGCAGGAGGGTTTCAAGGAGGGAGAGATAAGGTTTTCAGAGACGGGGGAAAATCTGAAAATTTGTCGAGCGCGAATTCACTTAAGTAGCCTTTTTTTAGCGTGTTTTAAAAGACGACGCTTGTTAATGAGAGATAAGGTTTTCAAAGACGAGTGAAAATTTGAAAATTTGTCGAGCGCGAATTCACTTAAGCGGCCATTTTTTAGCGTGTTTTAAAAGACGACGTTTTTATAAAAAAAAACCGTCATCTTTACATATAATAGACGACGCTTTTTATAAAAAAAACGTCGTCTTTACATATAATAGACGACGGTTTTTTTTATAAAAAGCGCCATCTTTACATATAATAGACGACCCTTTTTTAAAAAAACCATCATCTTTAATTCACAATAGACGACCCATTTTAACAAAAAAACGTCATCTTTACATATAATAGACGACCCTTTTATAAAAAAAACCGTCATCTTTAATTCACAATAGACGACCTTTTTTTACAAAAAAGCGTCATCTTTACATATAATAGACGACCCTTTTTTTTAAAAAACCGTCATCTTTAATTCACAATAGACGACCCTTTTTTACAAAAAAAGCGTCATCTTTACATATAATAGACGACCCTTTTATAAAAAAAACCGTCGTCTTTACATATAATAGACGACGGTTTTTTTTATAAAAAGCGTCATCTTTACATATAATAGACGACCCTTTTATAAAAAAAACCGTCGTCTTTACATATAATAGACGACGGTTTTTTTTATAAAAAGCGTCATCTTTACATATAATAGACGACAATTTTTAAAAAAAAAAAACCGTCATCTTTACTTCATAATAGACGACCCTTTTTTTTAAAAAAGCGTCATCTTTACTTCACAATAGACGACCCTTTTTTATTTATACTTTCATTAAATACAACATAAGATTTTGTGGTATCCACTAGTGTAAATATTTTAAATTGAAGATCAAATTGAGTCATTGTATTCATATAGGGTCAAGGAGTGTAGCTATAAAAAAATCATCAAAATCAGAGTTGAACGTTTTTTGGTCAGATTTTAACTCTGAAGAAAACCTTTTTAATAAGACGACGCTTTTTTATTTGTGTGCGTCGTTATAAAACAATATTCAATAGTACCTCTGTTTTTTAGTTGTTTAAGTCACTTATCCACGACACAACCAATCTTACCCATTGTCGTGTAACCCGCTTCTGCAAGATACTGCGTTAGCTGTGTTGTCTTACCCGAACCAGTCTCACCAATGACAACAAGTACTTGGTTCTCATGCACCGCTGCAATCAATTCTTTCTTCAGCTTGTAGATAGGCAAGCTCTGCCTCTATTCCTGGATTGACAGCTTTGACCTCTGCCCAAAACTGATGGTTTTCCCAAAAGCATCCTTCTTCCACTCAGGCATATCATATGCCGACAAACCAACACCTCTAAGTTCTTGTGCAAGATGCCTCTCACCAGTCTCTGGCATTGGATCTTCCCAGGGACGATTGAGATCCTTTGGGATAGAATCCAACATGGTTCTTTGCTGCTGCTCACGCACTTCTCTACGCTCCTTAATGAGTGCGGACTGAAGAGCAGCTGCACGACCTAGTGACCCTTCTGGATTCTTAAAGATTTTCACAGGTGACATATCAACAGAATACCTGCTCTGTCCATTTAAAAAGGCTGGCTCATCCTCATTGAGCTCAATCTCAAGCTCTTCCTCAGCTCCCTCTTCTTGATAAAGCATCCCATCGGTTTCCTCATCATACATAGGATACTCTGTAAC